CTCCATGTTAGCATCAAAACATCAGCATGACTGAGGACCACAAACACACGGCTCACGTATCACAGATAAGCTCCAGTAAAGAGCCGCAGGACAGACCTGAAGCCTGGAGCACAACACCAGGGTCTGTAGTTTGAAACTCACAGCTTCTCCGAGGGTACCATGAAGGCACCGCAGGTGTGTGTGAAACCTTTATTTACCTTCTGATGGAGAAGGTGATCTGACTGAACACAGAGAGGACTGTGACATTTACTGCCTCTCTTATCATCACAGCAGTTCTTAGCTGAGCTAACATAAAAAGGGTTTTCCTAATAACCTGATACACCTGTGTCAGGTAACAACACAATGAGGCTCTGACTCACTACAAACACACACACTGTTAATGATTAATGACTGCATTAATCACAACATTTCTGATTGACTTCAGTTCTACAAACTCATCTCTATAAACACATAACAGTCCCAGAAGGCTTTGTTTGTGGTCTTTGGACCAATCAGGCTTTGGCTTCAAACCTGTGAGAAGCTCAAAAGTCATTAATGCGCCCAAACTCATCTGACTGGGACTCAGCTTTTTACTCGCTAAACACTGATCACGTGATTACATCTGCACCCCAGGCGACTTCATGATGGTTAAAGACTCTGACCCTGCAACTCTATCACAGAAACAGGTGAGCTCACCTGGCTTCTCATCCTCTCTCTTCATTGTTTCTTCTTCTTCTTCTTCTTCTTCTCTGCACTCGTCGATGTTCCTGTAAGTCGGCTGAGGACACAAGAAGAAGAAAGATGATGAGGCACAGCCTGTCAGACGACACAGAGGGCTCGTAGGCCCTTCACATCCTCACCTGGTCGCTGTAACGTGATGACATATCATTGGTGGAGGGGAGAAGTCTGCTGATAAGCTGACCAATGGTTTTGAAGGTGGGTCTGTGGGTGGGCTCAAGGCTCCAGCAGAGCTTCATCAGCTGATACCTGCAGAGACAGGTGAGCGTCACTTTCAAAACAACTTTATGAGCACTGACACGAGCATCTGTGAACTCACATCTCCGCCGGGGCGAAGTCAGGCTGCTCCATGTGGCCGCCATCTTTGATCATCTTGTAGAAGTTGGTGTCCACGGCAATGTTTGGGTATGGGCTCTTTCCTGGACAGGTGAACAGAAGACTGTCTCAGAGAATGGCTGCTGAATGTCACGTACTGCTCATCACCAGAGCTGAAATGTGGTGAGGTGGTGCGTGGTGTTGCCATGGTTACCCAGAGAGAAGATCTCCCAGAGTAAGACTCCGTAGGACCAGACGTCGCTCTGCACTGTGTAGACGCACTGAAAGATGCTCTCTGGAGCCATCCACTTCACTGGGAGGCGGGCCTGTCAAAATAAAACAGCGAGTATCAAAATAAAACACAGTGATTGTTAAAATAAACAGCAACGAGTATCAAAATAAAATATGAAGACTGACATTTCCTTGAACGATGTAACTGTCATCATTGCGA